CTTTTGCTTTAGCGATTGTCGATTCGAGAACCCTAAACTCACGAAACGACGTGTTTTACTCAACTTCTATGCCTCGTCATTGCCACGGTTTCATCTGAGTCAATGCCATTAAGCAGTGACTAACATCGTTTCGACATATGTTGATTTTGGCTACTTTAGTATAGTTTAGTTGACAATTTGATTTTTAGTGAGTTTAGGTTGATATTTCAAAGATGTAGTAGTTTAGGTATTAATAACAAACAGAAAATAATTTGGATTGATTTTGGCTAGTTTCTCGCTGTATACATAAGTTGTGCTAATTCTTTTTAAAAATGGTTTTTCAGTTTGTTGATAATTTTGTAAGAAAGTGACATGTGGTGTCGACAGCTAATGACTATGGAAAAGAATATACAACAAGTGGAGATGTATGTAACTCCCCGACCGTCATATCTCTAGTGGGGCCCCATGTTCACTCTCAGTCCCTGGGCCCACCTCTCTTAGTGGGTGTTCACTCTCTTAGTGGGTATTACGTCCTCTCACTAGGCCCTTTAGCTCATCCTATCTGACCGTCGGTTTGCTACACAAAGGAGGCTTAAATAATTGGTTACTGATCCTACAAATCACCACATAATCTTTTCCTGTGTTTTGGCCTCACTCACACAGTTCAAACAACCACTTCAGAAGGTCACCCATCTTTTGACTACTCCAACATAAGCACGCTTAACTGTGGACTTCTCTCAGGACCATTGATCGAAAAGATAAGTACACTTTGGTGATATAAGTGGCCAAATCAATTCATTTAAACCTCTACGCAAATTGGGGTCTCTCAATGTTTTTCCCATAAAAAAGATGTTACCTATGATTTATGGATCTTTTTCAAAGATAAAAGAAACAATATTTGTAAATCGAACTGCAGAAAAAAGATTAATAGATTTGTTGATTAAGATCGTGGTTAAAACTGAACAAATTAAACTTGAATGAGGTAAATGGTTAAGTCGGTTTCAACCTATTTCACTTGTGGTTTAGGAGTCTAATCAAAGCTTTTCCCTAGTATTATATGGTTCTAGCACTAGCATACATATCATTTTCTTAACAATACATATCTAAGTCCGCAATTTATTCTTATGTACCAAACATCTTCAAGTTTTTGTTTATATTTCAAAACTGAGAATATAATTTTTGTTGTTTCAATCGATTATATTCTACCAGTTTTAAATTTAAGGAATCGATCATAAAAGAAAGAGTAACAAAAATTAGATATTTTACTTTTGTCTTCAAAATTTGCAAAAAAAAACTTATTTCAGTAGTGGAATAAAATTTAGAAAATCATATTGAATTGTACAATTGGTGTATTAGCAATATATAATTAGAAATATAATCCATTCAACAAAACTTGTACATCCTACTATTATCTTCTTCTTTTTTATGTTTTAAGTCATATCAAGAATTTTTTTATTCTTTGTTTTGAATTTAATAATTTAAAAGTTAAGTTATTCATTTTCAAAATAGATTTACTTTGGGTTTTTCTTATAAAGGTAAAAAATGTATATATTTCCGGATAATATAAATGGTACAACAATTAAATAATCAATTTATGTTCAAAATCATTTAAGCCGATTTAAAAATTGTTACACAATGAGCCCACAAGTCGTCACTCTTCTTCAAATATTGTGATTCACGGGCAATTAAGGCTGGTCTATCAGCAATATATTTAATGAGAGTGTCGTGGCACAATTTTCCTTCTTGAACAAGATCGTGGCAGCAAGAATCCGTGATGGTTGCATTTCCAAAAACAACGGCGATTATATCCAAGGCACACTTAGGGGAGATTTTAACAAGACAAGTATCCCATGAAGATTTTGCTTCGTTGTCATCGACTGAATATACTGGAACAAAGGCACAAACCAGAGCTACAACAATGAATAGCATACTGATCTGGGAGTTAAATTTAGCCATATCAGATTCCACGAGAAATTTACACACTAATTTTCTTGTATGAAAGTATGTGATCAAGTATGTTTTGTATTTGATATTTTAGACACAAACCTGAATAAGCTATTTATAGGTAAATTCAAAACCCAAAGTTACTATATCTTGTGACGTATAGAAAATAACTTAATTAATGAAAAGGAGTTTCATTTCTTCATAAATAAATATACTATTAACGTTTAAATTTGTATCTGAAAATATAGTTTTAAAATTTATTGAAAATTTTTAATACAACTAAAATATCATGCTTAATAATTTTTTAACTGTGGTAAATCATATACATTTCTAATCTAAATTATTAAGTAGTAGAAACAATATATATGATTTTACATATAGTAATTTTTTTTCATATACTTATCTTTCATTTCTTATATACGATTGGCTACCTCACATTTATTATTCACATTAATAAAATTACTTTGAATTACTTATAAATGCCATCACCGATATGTTTTTGTTAACACTTTTTTAAGGGTTAAAATAAGATTGAAATAAGTATTTGCAAAATAACATGAGTTTCACATGAGCTATATACTAGGAAAATTGCCAAAATCAACCCAGACTATTTGCTGGCGAATTTTTTTGATACATAAACTACAATATCTGACAAATATCACACATAAACTCACTAAAAATATAAATTCCCAACCTTAACAACGTGAAATTAGCCAAAACCAATATTTCTAGAAACATCGTGAGTTAACCGCTTAACGATAAAAACTCAGCCGACACCGTAGCAATAACAGGGCATAAGAGTTAAGTAAAACAACATCGTTTCTTGAGTTAGGATTTTTAAATGGGCTTTTGCTTTAGCGATTGTCGATTCGAGAACCCTAAACTCACGAAACGACGTGTTTTACTCAACTTCGATGCCTCGTCATTGCCACAGTGTCATCTGAGTCATTGCCATTAAGCAGTGACTAACATCGTTTCGACATATGTTGATTTTGGCTACTTTAGTATAGTTTAAGTTGAGAATTTGAGTTTTTTAGTGAGTTTAGGTTGATATTTCCAAGATGTAGTAGTTTAGGTATTAAAAATAAACAGAAAATAATTTGGATTGTTTTTGGCTAGTTTCTCGCTGTATTCTTTTTAAAAATGGTTTACAGTTTGCTGATAATTTTGTAAGAAAGTGACATGTGGTGTCGACAGCTAATGACTATGGAAAATAATATACAACAAGTGGAGATGTATGTAACTCCCCGACCATCATATCTCTAGTGGGGCCCCCATGTTCACTCTCAGTCCCTGTGCCCACATCTCTTAGTGGTTATTACGTCCTCTCACTAGGCCCGTTAGCTCATCATATCTGACCGTCGGTTTGCTACACAAAGGAGGCTTAAATAATTGGTTACTGATCCTACAAATCACCACATAATCTTTTCCTGTGTGTTTGGCCTCACTCACACAGTTCAAACAACCACTTCCAGAAGGTCACCCATCTTTTGACTAGTCGAACATAAGCACGCTTAACTGTGGACTTCTCTCAGGACCATTGACCGAAAAGATAAGTACACTTTGGTGATATAAGTAGCCAAATCAATTCATTTAAACATCTACGCAAATTGGGGTCTCTCAATGTATTTCCAAAAAAAGAAGATGTTACCTATGATTTATGGATCTTTTTCAAAGATAAAAGAAACAATATTTGTAAATCGAACTGCAGAAAAAAGATTAATAGATTTGTCGATTAAGATCGTGGTTAAAACTGAACAAATTAAACTTGAATGAGGTAAATGGTTAAGTCGGTTTCAACCTATTTCACTTGTGGTTTAGAGGTCTAATCAAAGCTTTTCCCTAGTATGATATGGTTCTAGCACTAGCATACATATCATTTTCTTAACAAAACATATCTAAGTCCGCAATTTATTCGAATGTACCAAACTTGTAAGGGTTAAAATAAGATTCAACAAAACTTGTAAGGGTTAAAATAAGATTAAAATAAGTATTTGCAAAATAACATGAGTTTCACATGACCTATATACTAGGAAAATTGCCAAAATCAACCCAGACTATTTACTGGAGATTTTTTTAATACCCAAACTACGATATCAGATAAATATCACACATAAACTCACTAAAAAAATAAATTCCCAACCTTAACAACATGAAATTACCCAAAACCAATATTTCCAGAAACATCGTGAGTTAACCGCTTAATGATTAAGACTCAGCCGACACCGTAGCAATGACGGGGCATCAGAGTTAAGTAACACAACATCGTTTCTTGAGTTAGGATTTTTGAATGGGCGTTAGCTTTAGCGATTGTTCGATTTGAGAACCCTAAACTCACGAAACAACGTGTTATACTCAACTTCAATGCCTCGTCATTGCCACGGTGTCATCTGACTCATTGCCATTAAGCAGTGACTAACATCGTTTCGACATATGTTGATTTTGGCTACTTTAGTCTAGTTTAAGTTGGGACTTTGATTTTTTTGTGAGTTTAGGTTGACATTTGAAAGATGTTGTAGTTTAGGTATTAAAAACAATCAGAAAATAATTTGGATTGATTTTGGCTAGTTTCCCGCTGTATACATAAGTTGTGCTAATTCTTTTTAAAAATGGTTTACAGTTTGCTGATAATTTTGTAAGAAAGTGACATGTGGTGTCGACAGCTAATGACTATGCAACAAGTGGAGATGTATGTAGCTCCCCGACCCTCACATCTCAAGTGGGCCCCATGTTCACTCTTAGTCAATGGGCCCACCTCTCTTAATGGGCATTACGTCCTCTCACTAGGCCCTTGAGCTCATCCTATATGAACGTCGGTTTGCTACACAAAGGAGGCTTAAATAACTGGTTATTGATCCTACAAATCAGCACATAATATTTTCCTGTGTTTTGGCCTCACTCACACAGTTCAAACAACCACTTCGAGAAGGTCACCCATCTTTTGACTAATCCAACTTAAACATGATTAACTGTGGAGTTCTCTCAGGACCATTGACCGAAAAGATAAGTACACTTTGGTGATATAGGTGGTCAGATCAATTCATTTAAACCTCTACGCAAATTGGGGTCTCTTAATGTTTTTCCAAAAATAAAAAGATGTTACCTATGATTTATTGATCTTTTTCAAAGATAAAAGAAACAATATTTGTAAATCGAACTGCAGAAAAAAGATTAATAGATTTGTCGATTAAGATCGTGGTTAAAACTGAACAAATTAAACTTGAATGAGGTAAATGGTTAAGTCGGTTTCAATCTATTTCACTTGTGGTTTAGGAGTCTAATCAAAGCTTTTCCCTAGTATGATATGGTTCTAGCACTAACATACATATCATTTTCTTAACAATACATATCTAAGTCCGCAATTTATTCGAATGTACCAAACATCTTCAAGTTTTTGTTTATATTTCAAAACTGAGAATATAATTTTTGTTGTTTCAATCGATTATATTCTACCAGTTTTAAATTTAAGGATTCGATCATAAAAGAAAGAGTAACAAAAATTAGATATTTTAGTTTTGTCTTGAAAATTTGCAAAAAAAACTTATTGCAGTAGTGGAATAAAATTTAGAAAATCATATTGAATTGTACAATTGGTGTATTAGCAATATATAATTAGAAATATAATCCATTCAACAAAACTTGTACGTCCTACTATTATCTTCATTGAGAAAAAAGAGGTGAGTCATATCAGATTTTTTTTATTCCTTTGTTTTGAATTAATAATTTAAAGTTAAGTTATTCATTTTCAAATAGATTTACTTTGGTTTTTCTTATAAAGGTAAACATGTATATATTTCTGATAATATAAATGGTACAACAATTAAATAATCAATTTATGTTCAAAATCAATTAAGCCGATTTAGAAATTGTGACACAATGAGCCCACAAATCGTCACTCTTCTTCAAATATTGTGATTCACGGGCAATTAATGCTGGTCTATCAGCAATATATTTAATGAGAGTGTCGTGGCACACTTTTTCCTTTCTTGAACAAGATCGTGGCAGCAAGAATCCGTGATGGTTGCATTTCCAAAATTACGGCGATTATATCCAAGGCACACTTAGGGGAGATTTAACAAGACAAGTATCCCATGACGATTTTGCTTCGTTGTCATCGACTGAATATACTGGAACAAAGGTACAAACCAGAGCTACAACAATGAATAGCATACTGATCTGGGAGTTAAATTTAGCCATATCAGATTACACGAGAAATTTACACACTAATTTTCTTGTATGAAAGTATGT